TTGCTACTTTTATGATACACACAAGTTAAAAGCTACTTTCTTCATTTGTTAAACATCTTACATGCTCTAAATCCATTATTAAAACATTTTAAATCTATTTTTGACGTATCTAAAGAAAGGAAAAACACGGACGTCTGAGACATAATGTATATCTTAATTTATAAGCAATATTTTGATGCGCAGGCTGGTCTGGATACATGCTGGTCGCAAACGCATTATGTTGGTTTTGTCATGACGCGGCTCATTTGTTTTTATACTTTAAATGCTTACCAATTTTATAATATTGTAGAGAGATAAGCTTAAAATGCATTAAGATATGGAGTGAATCTGATACTTAGAAATTAATGTTGAAATTTTACATAATACTGTATTAAGTATTGTCTCATTCCTCCAAATAAAGTTCACAAATTTTAAATCTATACAATAATATTGTAAGGTTTGTAACTAAAAGTATGAAAATGATCTCCATTTAACTATCTTACTCTATCGTCCTTTATTTATTATTCTCATCTTGACATTTAAGCAAAGAAACCTTGACACCAAAAGTAATGCAATAAACCATGACTTTGAAATAGAAACAAAAAATCTAAAATGCGTTTAACGTACTGTACGATTCTAATGAGATAGAATAATGGTTCTATTTCTGGGTATTTTGTGTTTATTATCAACTTTCATTTATTTTATCCTTTTTGCATTGATCAAAGCTGTCCTTAATTCTAAGATAAGTCTATTTAAGGATTTAATATTGCTGTGACATTGGAATAGATATAAACAAAACATCACTCAAAATGTACCATATACTCGATAATTTTGGATATATTCTTGATACAATATCCATGTGCTTCTTGTCTAAAACTTATTGCCAACTAACTCTTCATCAAATCACTGGTGGAAGGAACTTCTATAATTGGCATCTTAATGAAATCTGTTCAAGTATGAAAAGCAATTTATGCACTGCACTGTTTGATCTTTTATATTTTGATGGCCATATTTATGTGAATTCTCTTATGAAAATTCAAAGATTACATAGAATAGAGCTTGTGGTATTTGTTTTAGATTTTTTTTAACTTTATATAAACGTAAGTAAAATATAGTATCACAATGATTTGTTTTATGTAAAGCAATAAGAGTTGAAAAAGGAAGCACAAACAGGAGTTTTGATATGTCAAAGTGAATGACAGTTTAGTATCATAAAAATATCAAGATCGAATTGAACCGTCGACATAGTTAACAACAATGAACGATATCAAAATCAGACTACAGACGATTCTGATTTGCCTGATTCTATCTTAGTGGCAAATCATTATCAGTTTCTGTTCGTTCTATCAGGTTAATGTTTAGGCTACTGCAACTGTCATAGGGTCATTTATACAAGGTTATAAGGTTTCGTACCTCACTTTTGAGTGGTCAAATGTGGTATTGCCATTCTTCTCCACCTTGAGAAAACAAATCCAATTTATGATATTAAGATATTTTAATTCAAACCATACAATTTCGAAATCATAATGAACATATTCAAATGTTAGTTCACTTTTATGTAAAGGAAATAAGCTGAACAATTATTTTTTGCATATATTTTAAGCAATAATTCGGTTTATAATGTTTTGTATCTGTATCTCTATTAAAATATCATATGAACCTATGCCGCCTTGTTTCAAATGATTAATAAATTTCAAGGGTCTGCTTCTTCATATGTCTCAATGATTTCATTGATCTAAGTTAAGTATGTTTAATGTTTAATTAATATTTCATCGCCTAGAAGGCCCTCGGTGATGTGTTTTTAGAGTGAAATACGCAATTTATTCATTGATATTTTTTTCTGAGACACTTTTCATTTCACAAATTGTTTCAAGATTATACACTGTCAATTTTATTACTAGATTTTGATAAAATATATCTTTGCTATGTATCTAGTTACTACTCGATTCGTTTCCCAGTTCCTGGTATATCATCAATCGAACACACCTCTGTACGTGACAGCATGATATAAATCTGTTTACATTCAATATGGCTTCGTAATCATTGACCTTTCATGATGAACAGAAAAAAGATGGTATGATAAACTTTGTTTCTCTATTGCATAAGATAAACTTTTGTACGAACTAGTCAACGACTTTTTTGTTTCACGCAAGAAGCAAGTTCAAATGCGTTGATATTATGAGTAACTGTAAATGAGAATGATTTTCAATCAGTATTTTTAATTCAACCACATTTATTATAGTATTATTGAATGACAATACAATAAGAATTGTATTTGAAATAAATATTTTGTAAAAACGCAAAGGATAGGATAAGCACTTGCATTATCCAATTTTTCTGTAGAAATACTCGTGATGTCAAAGATACATATACATATATTATATCATACAAAAAATACATTGTTGCCAATGAAAATCCAGACATTTTTGACCATATAGATGGAAAAAAACTCTCAAATGTTGTAGCCGTCACACGATCTGTTCATTCTTTATTCAGGCCAGTAAGTGAAAAGATTACTTTTATTCAAAATGACGTGATGTTACCAAACTATATTGTGTTGTTCTTGATAAAACACGGACAGATTCAACAATGGTATAATATAAAAAATATCGATTTTAGATGAGCAACATCAAAACACAGTATCTTCGCAATGAAACAATCGGAAGTGATCTTAAATACTTCCGGTTACATTGCTACGCAAAATCTTATTTATTTTTAACGCAGCGACCTTTTGTCCTTCCCATTTTTATTTATGTAACTGGACTGACAACGTCAACATTTAACAGTTACCATTTTCAGTCTGACAAAAATCGATGCATTAAAGGCAAGTCGACACGAGCTAAATCTAGAATCATTTCATGTAATTTGATGGTTTTATTGTGTCAAAATTTTCCGAAATGGCCTAGACCTTGAAACTCAGATTTAAGGGAAACATAAACTAAGTCTTATCAAACCATCTGCAGACAATTTTATAAGTAAATTTAATAAATTTTTCTTAATTCAAAAATTCCTTTTCTTTACTCTTTTGTATAAGTTGCTTATTGTTATTTATGCGTGCAAACTGATCAATCGTTCCATACGCATAACAAATATTAAAATATAGCCATCGGTAATTTTTATAGGGGCCTCCGGGCCAAAATGGTTAAGATTGCCGTATTTAAACAATTCGCTTCTAACGGCTATTGTTTAGAACTTTGGAGTTATGTCACATAGCTAACCAGTTGGCTAAGATGTCCCCGCTCGTGAACTAAAACTTGCACGAAGGGGCTGTGTATTAAAAATTCATTCCAAGCGTTTTTAACATACGAACAAAACAACAACAACAAAAAAAAAACATACAAAAAACGTTCCTCGTAATAAATAAAACCTTAACAAAACAAACAAACAATGCCTGTATTTATTGCAACCCTATAAACAATCAATGCTTTGGTTCTCATTAAAGATCACCATTAAACCGTTATAATTTTATATTTTTGACAAAGAAAATACGTGCCTAGTGACTCATCCGTTTTTGTTTTTTTTTTAATGCGTTTATTTAAGGTCGCCGCCGGAAAGCCCATATGGGCGACCGTACACTCAAGTCGGGCCATCCTAGAGCGTCCCGCCGAGATTTTTTCGTCGATTTTTTCCAACTTTATTGGTGGAGGAAGACCCCAAGTGCCCCTTCGGGCATTATTTCAGGCACAAGCGGGCACCTGGGTAGAACCACCGACCTTCCGTAAGCCAGCTGGATGGCTTCCTCACATGAAAGATTTCGACCCGAGTGAGGATCGAACCTACAGCGGTGAGGGACCTGTGATCTCAAGTCAACGACCTTAACCACTCGGCCACGGAGGCCCCCAGACTCATCCGTTTGTATAATAGATCGATATATTAAGATTTTAAATGCATAGTTCGAATACAAATGCGCAGGAATATTATCACGGTTAGCCTGAAGTGTTAATATGATAAATTGTTCATTATTATACTACAACGCGATAAAAATGTGTTGAACAACATTGAGTGGAAATGTTAATTTCCATGACGTTATTCTTGTTTATTGACGTCACAGCTGGCTTGTATGTCATGAAAGTATTGATTTGTATGACATGCATAAATCTTACAATGATTTATAATTTGTTGTTTTGACCACTGTTTGGATCAATGTTATTGCATATATCATAATGTGTAATGATGAACTCGATTATCCTGTCTGTTTTTAAGGGGATTTGAGGAAGGGAAGGGGTTGGCGGTGATGTAAACCATGTTTGAATTGCAAATTTAGAATATCTAGTTTTTGCGGAGACATCATATAGAGAAACAAATTATATTCAAAAAGATATTCAAATAAGATAAATTCCATGGTCTTATTTTGTTCGTGCATGTGTTTTGTTGAAAATTATGTTAAATTGATTTTAATAGTTTTACATGTATGTAATTGATTTTTACAAGTATAAGAATGATTTTATTATAGTTTTAAGTGTATTAAATTAATTTGTTATAGTTTTACATTTATTTTATTGACTTTAAATTTTTTTATGAGAACATGTTTTTAATTAAGTCTAAAACTTTTCCTTTTATTTGACTTATATTTGACTTTACATGTTTATTATTGATTCTAATACTTTAACATGTATTTAATTGAGTCTAAAACTGTTTTCTTTTAATTTAGTTGATTTAAATACTATTACATTGAGAATAATGGAGAAAGAGAAATTATAAACACCATTGGTATTTTCTATATTTTATTTTCAAGAAGTGTTAAAGACTTAAGACCAAATCAGGTTTCAAAATATAAAATAATACAACAGCTTACATGTAAAAAACAAGGTTTTAAATACGTAATTTTAAAAGTTAAATATTACAAATGTATTAAATGTATTCAAATCATTGACGATAAAACATTGCTTAAAATCTTTTGGTTTAGTTTTTTTTATTTCAATTGTAACGACAAATAATCGTGGAATGATTCACTGAATTAAATAGAATGTATGAAAAAGCAGGTCAGTTGCCATCACTCACTTTGTTTCCATATTAATGTCTTTTTCTTTCTTTGATCGGTTATATATAACTATAATATTTTTAACATCTAACAAGCAAGACATCGTTATAAACCCATGACCCAGAGCTTGCCTTTTAGTAAAATATTTAAGTGACAAAAATGTTTGTGGTGAAATCTCTATATCTTTGTGTCCTGAAATAAAAACAAAACAAATACAAGCTTGATTGTTTTAACATCTTCAAACTGAGTCAGTTTAAAAAAAATATGTTCCTTCATGTGCAAATTAACATGTTCTGACAAAGTTCGTTTTGAACTATGATATAGATCTGTGACCTGTGAAAAAAAAAGTAGAAAGTCGCTAAGATGTTTTTGAACTTTTAAGTCCTTTTTCAATTCTAACAATTTTCTCAGCATAAGGAACTTGATTTATAGGATCAAATTTAATATCTATTTTTAAGCATAAAGTTAACATATAAACTGAAGAAGTTGAATTGATCAGTAAGATAGATCGCCAATCGAAATCGACTCAAAAGTAAATGGAATGTATGAAAAAGTTCACTATTTCATATCGTTTAAATATCAAACATGTAAAATAAGCAAATCTATCAACTTTTAATCTTACGTAATAGTTATGATATAAATTACCATCTACTGTAACCTGTGACGCTTCATATCGCGACCAAGCCATCTCAAAAATAAATAATCATCGAACCTGAAAAAGAGCAAAGATAACTATTTCTTTATCTTTCATCACATGCCAAAATTGCCTTTTGTTAAGAGAGATTGATATGCTTGGTTAGCTGGTATAAGATTAAGACAAACATTGAGACATAAGGTTGAGTCATCTCCTGCTATCTTGAATCATTTACATGTATATTAGGTTATGTCAGAATTACGTTTTATTCCAGTATATGTAATGTTCATTCAAAATAATATCCACTTGAGTCAAAATTGCATCATTTTGAGTCAAACAGACATAAAGTGGGTCTATCGATTGAGTCAATCTAAAATAAGCTGGGTGAAATTAACATATTTTATAGAATTGGCACATTGTTGACAATGACATTTCCGCAAGTCTATGAGGGCATTATGTTAAGTAAAATTGGAACTGTGTTAATGCAAAGTTACATAATTGCTTTGGTGGTTAAGTTTATTAAAATGTGTGTCTTTTTATAAGTATAAGGTTTGGTCAAGGTGAATAACAGAGTGAGTGAAATTTGCATTATAATGAGTTAAGTTGACATAATGCCTAGTCAATCTAGTTTTTACATTGTGTCCAGTTTCCTAAACTAGTATGTGTGGTTTTTTTGTGTGTGTTTGATTTGGTTTTGCGTCACATCGACACAGTATATGTGACGTTCCAGCTTTACTGTTGGAGAAAAACCTCAGGTGCCCTTCCGTGAATTATTAAAGGCACGAACTGGCACCTGAGTAGAACCACCGACGTTCCGTAAGCTAGCTGGATAGTTTCCTCACATGAAAGAATCCAAAGTCCCTGGCGGGATTCGAACCCACAGCGATGAGGGGCAAGTGGTTTGAAGTTAACGACCTTAACCACTCGGCCACGGACGCCCCAAACAATTATGTATTGACAAACAATTTGGTATTACGTTGGGAACATTTTGTTACTACGTGTGGTAATGTTTGTTCAACAAATAATCAATTTGATTCAACCAATTTGCTTTCTTACCCAGCAGAATGCTTTTTTGAGTCAACCTAACGCCAAATAGACCAGAACTTTATTTAACTTAACCCATCATAGTGCCGATTACCATAATTACCATGTTACACCCTCTGACGTCACATATAGCTATATAGTATAGAGATATAGTGAAGTATAATAAAACAAATGTCAAATACTATTGCTAAAACATACTATTATGTCAGCATTGAGAGACAAAAATGCTGCTGGTGTCACTAAGGCCTCTTGCAATTTAATTAAATGGTAAAAAGATATTTTCCACATGAATTTCTTTTAACTTTGCAATAATCATAAATTTTAAAAAAATATATCATGACTTAGTCAGTCAATTTTACATCCGATATAATAAGCTCCTGCTTTTGTTGTTGTTATATGTCGGTTATTTTGTTTTTACCCTAAATAACACTTTTTTAATTTTTTAATCGAAATTAGATTCTGTGTATAAGATATAATACTCGTGTGACAACACGCTAATTAATTAATAAATGGATAATTGATATAAATGATAAACTAATATGTATACATACGTGAAACCATCAATTCCTGATGATCGTTTTTTTACACTTGCCGGAAAACTGTCATACGCCCAAGGGTCAAGTAGATTCGTGCATTCTGGAGGACATGGGTGTCCGCTGAAAATGACATGATATAAAAACAATAAGTACTGACAAAATGATTGAACATGTGCATCATTCTCAATTTTCTACAATTCCTCAATCTGAAATCTAATTCAATGGATATTAATTGCATTTCTATCGAAAACAGATACATACAGACGTGTGTTTCGTATATCTGAATCAAGGGTTTTGTTACGATGTTTGGAAATTATGTGTACTAAATGAATTGGATATCATATCTTTAATGGTGATGACCTACGCTATTAGATGTTTCTAAGTGCTAAGAAATCAATACTGAAAATAACTTAAATGGCTATCACAACTGTCTGTATCAAATACTATTCTGTTTTCAATTTTTTACAAATCAAAAATCTATCATATTTCTTTTAACCCTAGGTTTACTTCAAGTTAACAACATAGCATCATTTTATAATAAATACGGTGAATAAAGTTATATTTACACTAGGATAAAGGTTTATCTGATTTAAATATAATGTAAATAAAAAATCCTTGACATGTGAACAAATTTTAATAATGAAATTCTTCTCCTACATCATAATTTGAAAAATAATATTCATACATACGCTGTACATATTTTGGTGCATATTTTCATAAACTTGTCATCATTATCAGGAGCCGTATTTGTATTTGATCTTGCCAATTGTACTCTGTTGTTTTCTTGTTTTACAGGTTGTGCCGCCAGGTGCCCACTTATTAACAGTGTAAATATGATGATAGATAAAAGCAGTGATAAGTTAGGAACATTCTTCATAATTATATACCTGAAAAATCCAAAGGGGATAAACCTGTTTTTATAGATGATTAAAACACCCAATTATGTTCATTTTTTTCTTCAAATACAATTTCATTGAAAGCAGAATTTAAGCAGAATAATGAAAAAATACTGTTTCTCAAAAGGAAAAGTTTGCAACAAAAACACATAAAACACTCTTAGTTATGTTATATTCCCTTGCCGGGAAAAATCCCTTAGAAGGGTAAAAATTCTCATGCAAGGGAGATTAAAATCCTAGCAAGGACATACTCAGATGAATACAACTTATCACAGAAAAATGATCATAATAATTGCAAGCACATAAATTGTCGCTCGCTATACTTTAAATTAGCATGTGACAATAATGAAATACATCCGTAAGCAATATTTAAGCATAAACATTGTGACGATATCATAATTTATGATGCCATGAAGATAAGCTAGTGATTTTTTTGGCGGCAGGAATCACTAAAACTGACTTAAAGCTTTTAGCCATTCAGAATTCAAACACCGCCTGCAATGCCCCTTAACTAATACAAACATATTGTAAAATATATGTAACCTTAATATAACAAAACAGCTCGTTTAATTTACTCCCAAGTATATTAATCCACACCCCGTTATACATCTTAAATTGACTCTCCAAAATCTTCTTTTTCATTCTGGAATAAACCATTCATTTTACGTGACAGGAATGTTTCAAAATATGTACTGACTATATAGCTAACAGAGCTGACTATTATCATAATTTTTAATGAAATTGCAATAGCTTAGTTGAAAAAAGATACATATTCTAATTCCTTGTATGCACTTTAAGTATTGTTATAACTTTTTTTTTCTCTTTACTTTAATGACAAGTATATACCAAACTTTCAAAGCTTCGATATTGTTTAAGGCACTTACAAGCTATATTAATGCCTCCTCTCAAATTTGTTTTCTTGGTTAATTTCGAGTGACTGACTTATTAAATCACGAATGGAATGTACCCTTCTAAATAACATCTAATGAAGAATCCTTTCAAGTGAGAAATGACAATTTTCAAATGAGCCGCGTCACGACAAAACCAATATAGTGTGTTTGCGACAAGCATGGATCCAGACCAGCCTGCGCATCCGCGCAGTCTGATCAGGATCCATGCTGTTCGCTATCAGTATCTCTACTTGTTATAGAGTTGGTAATCGAACAGCATGGATCCTGATCAGACTGCGCGGATGGTCTGGATCCATGCTGGTCGCAAACTCATTATGTTGGTTTTGTCGTGACGCAGCTCAAATGATTCTGCAATAATTGAGTGGACCGTCAATAAACAAATTGGAAAGGAAGAATTAGTAAGATTTCATATGTACCTCTTTTGAACTTCTAGATTCGTTTGACTTGGTGGTTTCTGGACTCTATAATTCAAAGAAAAGCAATTTAAATACTTCATACATATATATATATTTAACAAAGACTGATGATTATTTGAAAAGAAATCAAGACTTAGTTTGATAATATGACTGTAATTCGCTAAATGACGCATAAAATGAATAGAAAATTATGTATTTTTTATTTTGTTCACAAATAGCAGAAGAAAGAAAAGAAAAAAAAAAGAAAACCAAACCCCGAGCCATAAATTTGAAAATAATAAAACAATAACAGAAGGTCAACACAAACACGAAAAAAACAGATTTTAATGATTGAAGAAAACGAGTAAGCCCAAATAGGTAACAAGAAAATTTTAAACAGACAGGGAATAAACATAACAACAGAATCCCTTACTGCACATATTCAGTTTTATTAGTTGAAGTGACAATAAGCCCATCCAAGTGCAAATGGTCAGTGAACAGGTAGAAGTAAAAATAATTTGACATATTGTCATTCTTGTGTTCAATTTAATATTTTATTATGAAAAAAATGGTCAATAATCTACGTAACTAACATGTATAAATGTCGTTCAGAATATATCGGTTACGTTCAATCTTAAAAAAAGAGTGGGGCAGTCTTTTTATAGTAAAGGTCGTTTTTTAACTGTATCATAAACATTTTTTCATTATCAATTATTTGTCAATCATCATTATTTTAGCCGTTCTTTTGATATATATTACAAATTAAACTCATCTCGAGCATAAAATACAGGAAAAACGGAATGATCTCTAAAGAACGCCAAAAACGACGAAATTGAAAATGTTGCAGGCTCGGTTTGATTGCGCCTGTTCATGGAAGGTACTGGAAATTTGTAAGTTACCGTCTACGCCTACTAGCCCAGGTTTAAGTAGAAAATCAACATTTAAACACGAAAATGGTGCATTGTCACTTCAAGTATAAATGGCTTTCATTTAAATGGGGGATATTGTCAATAATAACAATTAATGCAAATTTATCTTTCTTTCTATACAATCATAAAATCAAACGTAATAGTAGTGCTTTCTTTTAGAAAGTGGATTATTTGTCTCATTTGTTCTGCGTTTGTATCAGGCGCATTTGTGTTTTAAATGTAATGTTAAGTCAGGCAGGTTGTTCCTATTTCACGTTGTTGCTTGTTTGCTTTTTTACGATGACTTTACTAATTTCTACGCAAGTGACCAACTACTAACCATTCAAGATTTCTGAATGGATTTCGTGAAGGTTATCTTGCTGGGGACACTTTGGAGGGAAGGATGAGAAAAAGAAAGATAGTTAATTGTATGTAAATGGAAGTAAATAAATCTCACAAAACCATCTATTAATGAATATGATATAATGAAATCATAAACCATTGTTTCCTTCTAAGGTATTTTTGATATAATCTCATCAATTTCAAAATTATACTCCGAATGTAATGTGAAAATCTTAAAACTCTATCATTTGTTTCCCTTTATTCTATATGTTAAACACTTTATTGTATGATTTGTATTTGTATGGTTATGCATAATTTTATGATTGTATGTATGATTTTCCAATAAATGGGGTTCACAATTTCTGGCTCTGAAGCCTAAAAAAGATTTCTGAATAGCAAATGGCCATCAATGTCTGAGATCAATGTAACGGAGAAATTTCCACCGAGCCTGAGGGTCGAGCAGTGAACTAACCATGAGGTTCAAAACCAATGCTCTCCATGTTAAGCTTAGCGCACAGACCTATTTTTATTGTTTATAAGGGAGCGTTATATTTGTTATTTTCATTTCCTAGTCAGACAGAAAAATAATTGTCTCTTTTAACGAAGTAAAGTGTCACTCGGAGGGAGATATGCGATTTTGTTATTTCCGCCTGGTCGTTAATCAGACATCTTCTGGACATAACGATCAGAAATAATGACTGTAAATCACCGATAAAAATTCCTAAATGTATGAAAACCCTTTAACCCGGTAAAACAATTTCCCCCTTTCCTTTTAAAAATTATCGAAAATGTTTCGAAAACAAATTTAAAATGTAAAGCTAAATACAGGGATTTTTTTAAGACAAACATGAATTTCATTACATTTTTTAATTATTCATAATCGACTGACTTTTGTTTTTTAAAAAATGTCCCAATATAAATTTTATTTTTTTTAATATCAATTAAAAAAAAAACAGTAAAAAATTTAAATTTTAAATTATTATAACAACTTTGCCAGTTACTTAATGCAATGTTTTTTGTAATCCATAAAAGGGCTAAAAATGAAAATAAGTGATTTTTCATGCTGAATGATGGGTCATCCGCTCTTTCAGGCACTGAGATTATGGACCTCATAAACGAAAATAACACGAATCAAATCTGTCTTTTCTTCTTCTTTTTTCCTTTTTTTGCTAAAGTAAAATTGTCAAGATAAATTGATATTTTAAGTTAAGCACAAAAAATATGGAAAGCGAAGAACCCTCAGGAGTAGAAAAAACATTAACATATAGACTAAGTTGAAAATGATTAAGTATTTTGATTACAAAGCAAAAGATGCATTATATGGAATACAGCAAACATTGTAACCGAAATAATCGTCACATGTCTTAACAAAAAATCAAAACCAAAGTCAACAAGTAAAGGGAATATTCAGCATACCCATACACAGCCCAGCAACACTTGACTACCGACCTTGACTACCGACAAGGAGCACAGCAGTACACCAAAGCATGAAATGGCAAACGAGGGATGGAGGATTCAAAAAATAAGTAAATCATAAAAATTGACAAAACTTAAATACTTAATTACCTGCGCTTACACAAAAGTTGTCATGATTGATTTTGTTATAATCATAATATAAATATTTTAAACCTTAAAAGATGGCGAATGTTTAAGAATTAAAAAAAAAGATAAACTGATATTATATGATTTTTTATCTCGGTATTTTGCTAAGAAAAATGACCTAAGAAAACAAATTATAAATGTTAAATTTCTGATTGATTTCGTACCTTAATACTTCACCCTTTTAACGTTTCCCTTTTTCCCCCAAAGAACCCTTTTTTAAGCGGGCTTAAACGAAAGTTTTTTACTTACATAATGTCAAGAGTAAAAAATAAAATAGACTACTCTCCCCGTGAAGAATTTTTAAACTAAACGGTGTTTTAGGAAATTTAAAAAAGTAAATACCACAGTTGGCGTTGTTTGAATTAAATGTGATTCATACGCCCATTCGTAACTTGCTATAGATAACATTTGCTTAAGCAAATTGCCCCCCTGATTTACGCCAGTTTTGTGTGTATTAAAACGTAAGCTAAGAAAATAAAATATTATATTTCATTTTTTACGTATTTTGATACCCAAAACAAAAGACAGATAAACTTATCTTAAAACCCGAGAAACATGTTTTTAAGAGCATCATGTTTGTTTTTATACAATCTATAGAATCTATTCATTACATGTTTGCGTGACCACTATTGCTTATAAATTGGATTTCTTGGTCACAGTACAAAGGTAAATAAAATCCAATTACACGAACGTAAATTGTTTAATAAAGCTTTCCGTTACTCATATCTGGAGGTCAATAACTTTTGAATTACATGTCCCTTTTTATATCAGAGAACGTTTACAAACAAACAAAAACAGAATAGACAAAAATCACGAACATTTATGTTTATCACAAGCAATAACTTGTTATTTCGCGCACCGCCGATTAATTTCGTTATATGTGAATACCCTACCATTCAAGGCAATTCTGTCAAATGAAATTCTATTTGTTATATTTATCACCTGGCGACACTCTCTCTGGAATGAGATGGATTTACATTTTGTAAATGATATTACTGGGGATGTAGCGAAACCATTTAATTAATGGAATGGTCCTTATCATTTTGAACAGAGTTTTGCTGAGAACAGATTTCCAGAACACTTAAAACCATGAGATGATAATGTAGATCTACGTGATAACATTCTATAGAGAAGATATGTTTATGAATTAGATTCATGATTGGTGCCAAGGTAACGCAGTAAAAATGATGAATCATAATTATATAAAATTTGTCCAACATACATTATTAGGATGTCTAATATTCTACACGCTGCGTTTTAAAATTTACATCACATTATAATAGAAGCAAGTGTTAACAAAAACATTAGTTATTGTACTAAAAAGTGCAAAATCCCAACAATTTTCAAATGCTTAGTTCACTAAAAATTTAATTCAATTATATTTAAAAAAAGAAATAAAAGTTTAATCTAAAAATTAACTTATGTTTTGACGTGTACTTGTATCTTTACGAGTACATTTTTTGGGGTAACTAATTTTTAAAAGCACAAATACCTCAGGAACGAATACATATTAAAATTTCATTCTTTAGAAAGCAAAAACAAAAACATGAGTTTTGTAATTTTAATGATTTCGAGATTTCGATGCTAATCATCTCGATAGATAAAATGCTGAGCGCAAAATTATTTGTCATAAAAGTAGCTAGATGTAAATACAGTAAAATTTTGTCTTCCATATAAAAAACAAAATCATTTTAAAATGTAATAATTGCGAAAAGGTAACGGATGCTAAAGATTGTTTAGGTAATTTGCCAATCAGTAACATTTTGGAAAAATACAGGACACAAAAATAAAAGGCATTTGAGAAATAGAAATAAAAGCGTTTGTAGAGCAAAGTGGACCTTTAATTTTCTTTGGTAATTATTTGTCCAGATTGATATTTTTGCTATTTTAATAAGACTATATTTTGACTAGTTTTATAGTCATCTAAGATAATATTTTTTATCTAGGAGCATCCAATCTCGTTAACCATTTATTATATAAAAAGTGAAGCTTTTTGGTTTATTAAATATTTATTCCTTTTCACTAATTAATTTGTTCGCATGAATGTACATGCCATCTCGATTTCTTTTCACGTATTGCTATACATCTGCTGTATATTTATACTAATGCTTTGTCAATGACCATTCTTAGGGCTTTAGTACAAATAAAAGGTATTCTTCTTCTTCTTTTACTCTACCTCTGCTGACACCAACATGGTTTAGCCTTTGCAACCAT